CCCCCCCCCAAACCTCCAAAATAACCTCCCCAAAACAGTTCTTAGAAAATTCAGCAATGCCGAAGTCTGAAGTTTCAACTGAGAAACTCTAGTTTTAAAAACAAGCAGGTGCCTTTGGTCATTTCACACCACCACGCTGATGCTACAGGCCAGGTCAAAGCCCATTCCTGCATTTCCAGGAGCGGCACAGTACCTTGGCAGTTTTGGGTGTCCTGTCCCCACGAGCCATACGGGGGCTGGCAGCAGCTCATGCAGTCCTCAGAAGTACACAGCAGCTCTCAGTGGCTTCCTTGGCTTCTGGGTGCCTGACATTCAGAACTGTGAGCACCTCCTACCTCTGAAAACCTCATTGCAGTGGGTTATTAAGAAAAGAAGCTCTGATACAGCCAGATTAAACCCCTGCGCTCTGTGGAAACAGATTTTGATGGCTGTTTACTTGCCCTCTCTCGTAAAAGGGCTTCAATAAAAGCTTAGAAAAGCTAACCATGAGCACCTGCCAACTCTACATAAAACTCTTGGCAACTCAATATACCTCCCTCGCCATGTAACAAAGCCAGCCTACTGGGACAGAAGCAAGAAATCAGCCTAGGTGCTTGGCAGATGCAGGGCCACAGGACGCACGTTCAAAGGCTGTCTGAAGACCACTTAAAGCTAGGCGTGTTGTTCTTCTGTATCACCTTGGGACACTCTTCTTAAACACATCTTTCCTTACCAACAAGGCTCTTGCAAGCAACCTACATATTTGACCCCATTCTTGGAAATACATGACTGGAATAAATGCCATTGATAACTATTAGTGGAGGAATAACCATGAAACATCGGTAACATAACACTTCAAACATTCAGCCCACCACATGTTGGAACGAGAGAGAGACAGACAGACAGACAGGAGAGAGACTTAAACAATCCATCAATGTTGCTTTATTAAAATCTTTATTCACACAATGTTGCTTTATGCGGAATCTGACCCTGGGGGATACAAGTACAAAGTCACGATTCCATTCTGTTTTCTTATTAGCAACCTCCATTTGTGCAGCTGCTCCCAGGGGCAATCCTCTGACAGCTCCAAGAGGGGTGTCTGTTTCGAGCATCTTGCTCCAGCTGCCACAGCAAATAAATTACCTTCTCAATAAATTAGTATTTTTCAGTTGAAGTTTGTTTGGCAAGACACACTCCAGTTCATTAGCTGCTGTAAGAGGAGCCAACTTCAGTGTCTCCTCCAGCCCGGCTGCTGACTTAAGAAGGAGGAGATAAATAGCAGATGGCTGATGATGCTCTCTTTTTAATTAGTTCTTGATTTCTGTGCTTCAAGCGCTCTGATATTACTGATATCCACAACACAACCATTTTGTAACATCTGGAGTCAGCAGATTACAGTGTGCACAGTGAACAAGAATTAGAAGGTGTCATGAAAACCTCATCGACAGAGCACAGCACCTGCCTCACAAATCACACTATTTTTCAGAGATTCAAGCAGACCCTGTTCATATGTGAATGCTGCTTCTTACTTCCTTTGCAATGGTTACAATTTAAAATTCCTCAGGGTTCTGTATGCAAGCAAAACAATGATCACTGCCAAAATGCCAGAGATTATCACAAGGCCAAAACCAGATCTTCCTGATTTTGGGTAAGAGAGGAATTTATTCTTCTTTCCTGCTGCAGAACACAAAGCTCCAGTGGCGTTTATGTTAGTTAACAGAAGCATCAATATGACCAAAAAAAAGAAGAAAAAAAAGCAACCGTTTCTTGCTTCCTCCTACTGACGATGCCGGACTTCATGCCCTTTGTTCACAAGTAAACCAATACTCTGCTTTAAATCTTTGACATTCATATTGGGGGGGGAAACTTATCCCCAGGTTCCATCTGATGGCAAAGGCTTCAGCTTAGAGCCCCGTGAACAGGCAATGCATAAGTCCTGAACACTAATTCATAAAGACAGAAAGATTTTTTTTTAATCCATTATTAAATCAAATAAATGATCAAGAGTGATCATACAGAAATCAAAACATCGAATTTTGGTAGATCCTTCCCAAAATATTAAGTGCTCATGACTAAGCTCAAAGACAAGAACAGGCTTTTAAAAATGCTACAAGCCACTACCATGTGCTTCACCATCTCCCCTTTGTGTAAATCATCTTAAATTTCCTGGGAAACGGTCTATGCCAAAATGCCTCAGTATGAACCTATTCTGCTTTAGAATAAAAGCATTCACTAACCACCGAACTGCTGCCCACGGTACTTCCCAAAAATATCTTGCTCAACCACTGAAATCTGACTGCCAGCCAAGCGACAGGCCAGCTCAGCCAGCTCGGGCCCCGGGCAATCCCTGCATGGCTCCTGCCCA